TAGCTTTCTGCTGTCAGTTCAAAAAGTATTTTATGAAGGCTGTTGTGTTGGTTTGCAGGCTTCCTATATACTGTAGTTTGTAACTTCCATAAATGATATTAACTAGGATGCTTAAAAAACAGTGATGGTGGTTTAGGCACTCCAGCAGCAGTTTAAATGACAAGTAATTGTTACTGAACTTATGGTGAAAAAAATAAAATAATCCAACGAGTCCAGGATTCCAACCCAAACAATAAAGGCATACCTATAATACACAGATGACAGTGCAATTATTTTAAGTCTCTCCAAGAGAGCTTCTGTAAGGACTGAAATATTGCAGGACCATCTGGATGCCCACAGCCTGAAGGAAACATTGAATTTTGAAACCAAAGTTTTTAAAAGGAGAGGATGAAATGCATAAGCTTGGCAGTAACTCCAGGATGCTCCTCAGAATTAGGGAGCTCATCTGTGTACTCAAGGCAGTCTACAATGCCAACATAGCATAGGATGTTGGCATTCAAGCTGCTGACCTTAACAGTGTTTAAGCTGCTGATTTACAGCATATAAAGAAATTTGTGACGCTGTCACCTTACAGCAGGTTTTTCCAAAAGGGGTTTAAGGACTGTTTTGATGAATCTCAAAAGTATTTAAATGCAAGATCCTCACTGAAGAACTATGGGTCTACCACGGTTCTCTTTCTTGTGTGCTCTGGAAGGTATGGGGCAGGGGGGAGCAGGAAGCAATTGGGGTGGAGGACTGGAGGATTAGGTTGCATAACAGAGCTGATGAGTCAGTAATTTGGTATCTTTTAAATTCCAAGATGAAAACATACCCAGCTACCACAGCATAAATATATCCCGCTGAATGAATTACTTGTCTTTTAGTTATGATGCTCAAGAAAGGCCTATAAAGCACTGTCAAAAGATGAGCTCGAACCAAAAAATAGTAAGTTTACTAGATGTGGAAAAGAAGTCCACAACAGAATTGATAAGTTTTTACAGCACGGTATGATTCTCATTCTATAGCTCTTCTGTATTTTGCCAAGTACAAATGACCTCCTTCCCCTTTATAAACTTAAGCTAACATATCCCCCCCATTTGTATCACAGGTACCAACTTCCTTTCTTTTTTAGAGGGTGAGCTTACAGATGTCGAGAAGTTGCTTAAAGTTTAAATTAGCTTATCACCTTAAACTTAGTTTTTAAAAGTTCACACCACAGAAGATGTTTGAATCAGTTGTCCAACAAAATCCTCACCAAATCATACTTACTGACAAATCCCTTTTCCTTTTTATTGAAGTATTTCTGCCATAGCACTGACCACTTCAGCAATGAAAAATAACTTAACCAGGTTGCTTTACCAGTGAAAAATAAGGCAGTGAAGTGTAACTATCCAGAATTTATGCAAAGAGCTTGTCCTGACTTGAAGTAGGGTCCAGTAGACAAAACAGGAAAGTTTAAGGACCTGTGCTGATGAATGAATTGTTCAGCCAATGTAAGGTGCAACAGATTCCTAGATGTCATCTTCCCTGGGCTGCACACTTTAAAGTGGTCCAGCGAACTTCACATCTGCAACTTAACCAAAACTCTGAAAGCTACTGTGCAGAAATATATGTCCTTCCTCAGCATCATGGTGATGTGCTCTGTCTGTTCTAGCATTCTCTACTTACCAGATACTGATTTTTTTTTTTTTTTAATGATCCTTGAAGGCTTGTTTATATTGGGCAAGCAGTTCCTCCCCCGAGTTTGTTAATCTAGTGTGTGTGCCAAGTGGGTAATTTTTTTCACTACTGGCCACTAACTGAAGAGGTCATAACTCTTCTGTCAGAGCAAAAGAGCATTTATTAATTTGGTTTTTCTTTCCTTTGTTTTCTTAAAAAAAGGGAAGTTGCCTGAAAGAGTCACAAGACTTGAGTCTGCTTCTGAAATTGGACTGTGTCGTCCAGGAGAGCTGCCTTCAAGTCAGAAAGCAATAAACACTCATATACATACACACACACACACACACACGGAATACTTCCAAACCCTTAAAGAACAGGCTTTTAATCATCTAGACTTAGAAGTGGATCAAAAGCTTAATATTCCATGACTGGCAAACTAAGGGTACAATAATACAGGCAGCTGCTCCAGAAACCTATTAAATACTTTTGGAACCAATCTTGGTAACCAGTTAGCAGTCAGATCTTTTTGTGCTTGCTAAAGCACCTGATCCCTCTGGTACACAACATCAAAAAGCCAGCTATTTATAACATATTTGGATACTCTGGATGAAGATCTATTCTTCACCCAAAGTCCTTATCTTTAGAAATTATCTTGGAATTTCCTCTGCTGTTTCATTTTTTACATGCTGAAGTCTGCTCACAGAGTTACATGAATGTACTTTATTCAAAACTTCCCAGAGATCCTGAATGACTATTAACAAGACTCAGTTAAGAGATAGCAAGGTTAGGATTATCAACGGCTGGCTCCAAAACTTCACTGGAGATTGTACAGGTTTGCAAGATTTACAAAACTGAAGAACATAAAAATTAAATATAAATTCTAGACTAATAGACTGTCTAGAGTGTTGACAATTCAACACGCAATCCAAGAAAAACATGACCACCTTTTCACAGATAGCATAAGAGAAATACCAGTGGTCCAATAACATGAAGTACGTTTTTGTGCGTGTATGTAGAGGAGTGTAAATAAAATTGGAATTAAAATACTAGGTCAAAGGAGGAGACAACAGTCACTACCTGCTTCACAGGTAGTGTGCTTCACAGCACATCTGCTTCACAGAAAACCTCTTTCAAGCAGTAAAAGGAAAAAAAAAAAAATCACAACTTCACTCCACTGGAAAGTTTTCACTACGTTTTAAGCCCAACTAATCATTACAGTGATTACTTACCCTCTGTTAAGGTCCATTTACTTTAATAACACAAACTGCTGTAATTAATGTTGCTCATACATAAGTATTCCTCTATAAACAAGAAAGGTTTTTGAACTCTGAATCCCAGTTACAAACTTTGCCATGCCTCATTTCCATGGCATTTTTCTGAACATTTCACAAGGGACTACGTCATTTTTGTGGCTGCATGACATAAAGCGGATACAGGTACACAGGACAAAACACTCATTTACTTGACTGCACTGTACATTCCAGTAATATTACATCAAATCACTATATGTAGTTTTCTGGGTTTTCCGTTTTTCTGTAACTGGTTTTGCTCACACATGAACAAAATCAAGTGAATGATTTTTTAAATTTATCGTACTAAGTCTAGACTTTCATTTGAATCCTTTAAAAGTTACCTTAAAATTAAATTAGGTATATAGGAAATAGTTTGAGCTACTTGATATGCATTATTTGTGGCACATTCAGTGTTACTATAACCTCCATATCCCTACAGACTCTCCTCAGGCTTTCCCACTAGTCCCCACTGAATCTATTATGTGGGATAGTTAAACAGCTATTAGGGCATTCTGTCAAATGCCATTCTGCTGTTTCATCACATTTCAGTAACACAACATGGCTTGGAGTTACCTCATCTAGTTTGGGTCCTCCAAACAGTCCAGCTGCAAGTAAAGGAGAGCTCCACATGGACTACTTTATTTTGCTGAGCTAGTAATTATTAAACAGTCAATTAAGTCAGCTCAGAAAGAAGATAAATCTGCCCCTGCTTCTATGGCTGGCCTGCTCCTAGAGCCCAAGTTGGCCTGGATACACCTATACTGTACAGGAGTGTCAACATACTGTATCACAACAGCATTTTCTTTCAGTACTGGATAAGAGAGTTCAATTTCTTTTGCTTGTTTGTATACATTTGGTTTTAAAAACACATGCCTATATCCTTTTCTTCAAAGCATCTATTCATTTTTACAGAGATTTTTCACTGCCACAAACTTTTATTAGAATCTGTTAGTCAGGTATTCAATGAAACTGAGATAACAGCTACAGTTCTGGCCTGAGCTTTACCTGATACGGAGACACCTTTATACCAAGAGATTCCCTACATGACGGTTCCACATATAATCACTCACCATTTGTGGGAGTGTCTCAGCTTCTGGTTTTGAATAGGTTCTACTTAAAACCACATTGTGTAATGAAATGTCAGGAGGATGTCATCACCAACAGCCTGATTCCACTTAGTTGTGAAGGAAGTCAAAGCTTTTGTTTAGACTTTTAAATTAAAGAGTCCCTACCCAAGGCCAAAGTAAAACCTTTTGTCCTTTTTATACTACCCTTAAAATCTACACAATGAGACACAGGAAGATTCTTTGAACTTCGCTCATCCGTAGACACAACATGGTGGGTTTCTCCAAAATGCTTCCACACAGACTTTGGTTAGAAGTCTACAAGCCTAAAAGCTTACACATTTTTTTGGCACAACTGCACCAAAAAAACCCCACAGGTGTCTCAAGCCTTTGTGAGAATCTGCACTGATAATTCCAAAGATAGTATTCAAACACTACTGACTTGCACATCTGCATTTCTTATGACTAAATCTGAGTACACAACAATCTGCTCTTGCTTATCTCTCACACCCTGCCTGAAACAAACTTACTGATGCATGAAGGATTAGCAGCACTCCCTCAAGGCAGGGTACCATTCAGAGCAGACAACATTCCTAAAACACATTTCTGGGATGGCACCCCAACTCGCATCAAGAAAGAAGTTTTGGTGGACTTTCTCTAGAGCCTCACACGTTGCTTCTATAGCCCCATCCTAACTTGCTTTTCTATTTGTTGGGTCTTAAAATGTTGCAATTTCACTGCAAATTTAACCATGAGCTCTGTAGGATTGTTTTGACTTTGTATAATGATTCAACTTTGGAGAAAGGGAACAAAAAAAACCATCATCCATCCCCGCTCCCCTCAAAATTTTTTCTATTGGCATTCAAAGTAGACCATTAAAAAAAAATCCCACCATATATTATAGCAAAATTTTCTTTGTGTTTCAGGCCTTCTCATACACAACCAGTGAACTTCCTAAGTAAGCATTGTTAATTGTTCTTGAAAAATTAAGTATCTACCAACTTACTTCCCCAAACAGGAATATCTTTGCTTTCTGCTTTCATCACAATGGAGGCGAAGGTCATAGTTACTGGAATGGCATCAAAGTAGGAAGAATGGGGAGCCACAGTTAATATTGCTGCTTCTGTCGGCAATGCCCGTCTGCCTTTTACATTTATCCAGTGGAATCCACCAGCAAGCCACATCATTCTCATGATTGCTTTCAGCAAAATATCCACTATCCTGCAAAGAGTTGAGAAAACAGTTATGCTGCCATCAAATACCTTAAAATAGTGAAAAGAAAAACAATACACAAAAACTTGCTAAGCATGACGAAAGTATAGATAGCATATGCTACTTAAACAGAGCAGGAACATTGCATAGACCCTTTGTTTTCTCTTTCTCAGCAGATTTAAGACCACTTTCAAGGTAAGATGCCATTCAATTTCATTTCATGCCTGAAGATGAATGCTTCTTAATCACAGTAAGATTGGCATTTATTTTAGCACTAAATTAATTTTGATTCAGACTATGACTGTTGAGTTTCTCCTATACAATGTCTAATAATGTTTTCTAGTAACACCAAAAAAGCTCTAAAACTGAGTCCTGAAAAATGCTATTAGGATATTGCTAGAATGCAACAACCCTGATTCTTGGGTTTGAGTTTACCTAAACAAAGCAGTGTAGAAATGTAGGGCAGAGATTCTCAAACACAGGAATGCCTGTACAACACATCTGGGAGCTTCAGAAATATTTTACTTTCTTCCCTTTTCCCCATCTCCTCCTAAAGTGTCTTGTGGTTGGTTTTGGGTTTTTTTTTGTAGGGTTTTGTTTGCTTGTTTTTTAAACTGACAGTCATGAACAGAGAAACTTTTACTTTGAACCAACAGAGTGTAAAAACCAAACAACACAAATTGTTATACTCACAGGGATTGGAGGCTGGAGAGCAGGCTGACACTGAAAACTGGATGAAATGGGGGAGGGACAATCTAAAAAGCTTCAAAATAACTGTATGCAAGATTGAAGGCAGTCCATTATTCCTTTAGTTATTATACTGATATCATTCCAAATGAAATGTAAAGTGACACGCCTCTGTGGTTCTCAACCTCCTTCCCTCCTGTGATGCAAAATACAGTCAGCTTCCCTCATGCTAGTGCCAGCTCCTAATTTTAAAGTTCTCTACAGAATAGGTGATACACTCCTCATTTCTTGCTCCTCAAATGGCAGTTTTCATGGATGGGCAAACACTGTTTTACATTCTACCTTAATTAGCATTCCAATATCAAAGCAAGCACAGACTTATTAATAAGCACCAAAGCAGGGGGCAAGCCCTCAGAGAATCAACAGAAGTTTTGTCGATTCATCACAGGCTAGCAAACAATGGGGTGAAGCAGTTTAAAAGAACAATCTAGAATACAAAATCTGGGCACATTCTGTACTGTCAATCTTCATAACAAGAAGTTGACACTATGGGAATAATTGAAATTGACGGATGCCACAGTGAAGCTTCACACTACATCCTCAATAAAGAGAAGAGGCCAGAAATGATCAGTTTTTCTCCTTGTAATTCTTGGGTCACCTGGTAAATCAAATAGCTGAGGTATTTTTAGTTTCCCATCTGAGGAAAGTGTTTAAGTAATAATTTTTATATTTTTCTTTTGAAGAGAAAAGCAGGTCTGTGGGACAGATATCAGTTATTTCCAATCTTCTCTATTTCAAACTGCTGAACTAAATAATGATTCTCTCAGTATTTCACCACAGCAGTGACTCACTTTCGCCACCAGGAGAGGGGCTTTTCAAGCTCTTGCTCATCAGATCCCATTGAAGCAATGAATGCAAAAGGCCAGGCCAACAACATCATAAAAGCAGCAAAAAAGAGTCGGATAGGAAACAGAGTCAAGGTCATGAAGGCAATCTGCAAAATCCAAAACAAATGCATTATTCTAACACAATCTTGGACTGAAAAAGCCACTGATTCCTAGAAACTGATCTGAAGTCTTAATTTAAAAATATCTAATGTTAAAAACAGCAGAATACACTTCAATTCTAAACAAATAATTGTGGTGTACGCGTAACAATTTTGTACTCACCCACCTTAATTATAGCTGAAACGCAGCACACTCTTTAACCCTAATGCAGTCTTAGCTTTCCATACTTCTTCAGACCCTGTTTGTCAGTGAATACATCCGCATGCTCTTTTCCCTTTCTGCAGCCTCACATTAAGTAAATATTTAGTATGGGTGTGTTGTAAATCTTACTGCACTACAGAGAAGTCAGTCCATCACAGCAGCTCCCAGTCAGTGATGTGCACTTCTTCAGCAGGGTGCATTCACATGGCAACACAGGACCCAACCTAGAAAGATCTTCCAGGACTGGGCAGGCACCAGTTCCTCTGCTGTATGTTCTTGGAACCAGAAGCTGTGGGGAACCACAGGTACAACACTGCAGAGACCTCTGGACAAATACCCAGACATGCATACGAGTTTAAGTTCCAGGTCTGCGATAACAAGTGCAACCCCCTGGAAAGCAGAGGTTTTCAAGAAGTTATCCTCCCCTGGGAAGCCATGGTGAACCTAGCTGCCTCTGCACCTCCTTCCAGTGCTCTAGTTCTTGGAGAGCCCATTCCCAGCCAGTCAGCCCTCTGCCTTCAACTTTGGCAAAAACCACGTCATGTTGGAACTCCTCCCACGGTCTTTTGAAGAATTCTCCCCAAAGTAGGGCCTTTCCTGAGCTGTTTGGAGTTGTTCCTAACTGTCCTCCAGAAAACACAACAGCTATGTGTGCAATGATCCACTTGCTCCAGGAAACAGTTCCAAGAGCCAAGAGTCCCCATCTTTCTCACTCAAAGGACAGGAAGAAAGAAAAAAAAGCTCTTAACGTGGAGGAGGATACAGCTTCAGATGACTGGCTAAGGGAGAGAAAGGGAACTGAAAACTGTGTGAAGCTGACTGGGGTAGCACTAAAGCTCCTCAAGCTGTACAATGGAGGCTAGCAGAAGATGAAGACAACACTACGAAATAGAAGGGCCATGTAAAGAAAGAGAATTCAAAAGGAAATATGCTACATATTCATCGGTGCACCAGGTGAGGTAAAAAAGCACTTTTCAGCATCACAATGGCTGGGCAAGGATGAGTAATGAGGCATAAGATGCTGTCTCATGTTGTGCTTAATCTGACGCATCTCCAGGCTGCTGTGGAAAGCATTATTCGTATTCTTCTTCTCTTCCCTGATGCAGATCTAGTCATCACACAGCTCAGTTTTCCATTGATCAGTTCCTGCTTCCTCTCACTTCCCAAAACGGCTCAATAACCAACTCACCCTGTAGCTGTACAAATCTGTAGGTCTAGGGTAGAGGCAGGGAACACATAGCAGAAGAAAAGACCAAGTCACCAGTTTCAAGCCCTAAGCTACCAGCCCACTGCAATGTCAAGATTTTATAGTGATGGTTCAGACTGGCACCATCATCTCATAACAACCATGGTCTCACTCCCCAAGACAGGATTCCAGTCCCTAGGTAGACTGCCTCAGTCTGCAGAATCAAAAGAAAAAGGATCTTTTTTCTTAGATAGGCTAGTTTCCCAGATGAACCAGTACAACTTCCTAAACTGCAAGCGTCAGATGAGCACTGAAGTCATACTAACTCATGCAACTCTGCATCCATAGACAAGACCACCATGTCTGGCAGCAAATAGGGGAGCATTCATTTGCAAACTGGAAAAGAGAGAGCAGCTGCCTTCTAAGCTCCTAAAATGAGAAGAACCAACTGTCAAGAAAAAAGGGAAACAGAATGCAGGTGAGGACACGGTCCTCTGGGATTCACACACTCTCCCACTCCTCAAAGTCTCCTCCCTACACCAGGGCAAAGCTGAATGGCAGGTGACTGCTGGTCAGTTGTTCAATCCTTTGTATCTCTGTAGCAATCCTTTGTCTCAAGACCACTTTAGAGCCACATCACAGAACGGAAGCAGTAGTTGCATCCATAAGCTTGTGTAAGAGGGCATAAATGTGTAGAAAAGGCTTCCTGGTTTTCTGTGTCCAGAGACAGCAGTCGTGGAAATGGCCAGCAAGAAGCAGTTCCAAGTACACAGGTATATGGGGTCTGGCTGTGACAGCAGCCTCTTTTTTAGCAGGTGGTAGTGCAGTACCTGTCCACACAAGAAATTTGGTAGGAGAGAGAAGTATGTTTGGCCCATGAAGAAGGTTAGGAATCAACAGACACTAACATTTGAAAAGTAGTTCAGTCTACATCTACATTCAGACACCTTTCTGGGTAAGAAAGCTTCTATCCTGTAAAACTTAAGTACAGTAACAGTGTCAGACAGAAAAAGGGAGAAGATCCCATCCTCACTGGCCTCTGTCAGAGATCAGAATGCAGGAGACATACGCTCCTGCTCTGACCTTGTACAGACATCTAATTTTGGTGATCATATTTCTACATATTTAGGACATTCACACAGACATGCTTTCTATTAAAATTACAAACTCTATCTGGTAATAAGTCACACGTAAACACCTGTGTTTTGAGATACATTTAGAAAACCCTAAAGGTCCATTTGGGGCTGCACCTTGGGAGGTTCAGCTCACAACCGATTTTCTCAAGAGGGGTTTGACTACAGCTCATTTAACTTTTGCTGGTCTACAGGATCCTACTTAGTTTTTCAGAAGTTGCAGTGTATGCTGTGAAAGACCCATGAATAGCAGGAAGGGAGAGAATGGTCTTACAGCTTGTAACAGAAGGCTGCCCTGGGAAAATGTACTCCACTTCTGTCACAAGGGCTTCAAACTGATGTAAGGCAAGTCACTTAAACTGAATAGGTATCATACATTCTCCTTGTTTAGAGACTCTGCATTCAGATTTGAGTATGAACTTACAATGAAGGTATATAATATGAACTTAAGTCCTTTTTAAGTTCTCAAAAACATCAGGTCCTACATAGGTAAGCACTGAGCGAGAGAATCACAGAGTACCCTTGTTTCTCCTTCTGTATGTCTCCATTTCCTGTCTTCAAAGTCAGTATCATACCTCTCATGCACACAGAAGCTGAAAAAAATGCATCTCTGATATTAGCGGTACAGTGAGAAACATCAGTAAAAACCAGTTTATTCACAACAAAATTTCCATGACTTATTACAAATTGATGGTCACATATTGGACAAAGAAAATACAATAATTAACTGCACATTTAACATGGTAGAGGTTTTGATTTTTCTTTTACACATATCAGATAGAGACTACATCTTGCCCCACACTTTCACTTCTTCACTATTATCATCCCTATAGCCTCAATTCACCAAAGATGGCACTGAAGGAGCTAGGAATTCATCCCTCATCAATTCTTTTACTACCCACTTTCCCACTCTGCAAGTTCCCCGATTGACACAATCATGGAGATAAATACAGGAGTAGAAATTTTCATGTGCAACTAAGACAATCTAACAGATCATTGCTGCTCAAGAGAGTGGTCTTGTTCACTCTCCCCTCAATCCTCCCCTTGAGTCAGCTCTAGCACTTATCTGAACTTGCAATGAGCCAATACAGCTCATTAGAGTGAAGAAAAGCAATCCCAGCAAAAGAAAACAATCACAATACAGAAAAACACAATAATATGCTGCTTTAATGAGCCAAATCAGCTCACCAAGGCACCAAAGGAACACCAGCGTTGGTGCAATAAAAGGGCCAGAAACACTGGAAGCAAGGAAAACGTCATCGTTTTGTGTTTTGAAGTGGCAGGGAAACAATGCTACGAACACTTTGTGACAGCTCCAGTAATGCTTCTGCCTGTTCTGCAGAGGTAACGAGAATCAAGAGCTTTGACTTATGTGATGGGTGCCCAGAAGGTGTTCGAATGAACAAAATTAACGGTTAATGAAATCGTGTCTGTCTTTCTTCTAGAAAGGATCTCTTTATTGTAGTACTGAAATAAAACAGGTGGCTTCAAGAATGACCGACGCTGTCACCCTCAGATCAGAGTAAAATAACCATCATTTCTACAGGAAGCATGAGACTCAGTTCTTAAATAGCCTTACTGCTTTTACACTCACATTATCTCCCAGTTTTAATAAAGCCAGTAAAAGATGATGTGAACAGTTCCTCAGCACTCAAATGGATTATTTTTTTTTGCTGTTGTTCTTCCTCTTTGCGGTTGTTTTGTCCTCTTACTTTCTACCTTTTTTTCACTCCCACAGTCTCAGTCTGAAATGTTCTAAAATACATTTACTTTGAGTTGTATTAATGAGCAAAAAAGCTAATCTAACCTCTTGCAGGGCGCAGGATGAGGGAGGGATGAGGTAGCAGTGAAGATAATGGAGCTATCTGGCAGACCATCAGCAACAGAAAACAGACTGTCAGACAAAGCAGTCTTGTCTCCCAGTCCCCTGTGCTCACCAACTTCTTCACATACCTCTAGCCCCCACACGTTCCTAACCTTTCTCGACAGGCTTTGCAATCCCAGAACTCACCTCTGTTAGATTCACAGGGCAGATAGAAAAACCAGTGACACAGTATGCGCCTACAGCTGAACAGGAAGTGAGTTCAGCTGTAATACTTCATACCGAACCCGGAGCAACAGGCCAGGAAAGTATGGAAGAGAACGCAGACTGCTGTAATTCACTGTAAAGCAGCCTCCCCATCGAAGAAGTCTCCCTCTCTGGGAGAGCAGCATTTCTCGTAAGTGGAACAGTTCCACAGCTCTTCTTTAACAGCCTCTAGGAGCATAACTTTTAATCAGTGAAGAGGTTAGGAGAGCACGATCAAGGCAAAGAAGAAAATCTATCATGGTTCCGTATATCAGCTTGTGTGCTTTTTCCTCACATAAAACTGCAAAAATAAGACTGCAAGAAAGGCTGGGTTAAAGAAGTCTGTGCCGCTGTACATCAATAAAAAACTGCTCACTTAAAAAGCAAGACCAAGTCACACTCCTTGGCGAGGCTACTCCTTTGGTCTGCACACTGTAAAAACTACGGAGCTTTAAACACATCTTACAGTTTTCATTGAAAATAACAAATCCTTGAAATCCAGTGGCAAAGCTCACATCTCATATAGATGTACAGGACAGCCCACACAGAAGGCAGGTATGTTCTATAACCAGTCACTTTGCTGGTGAAGCAGCTAAAGGTCTGTTAGGACTAACAACAGATCAGCAATGCTAGTAGCTCCGATGAGACTCAATACTGCAAAAAATGCAGAACTGGTACTCTGCCCTCCCAACAGTATTTTTAAAATTACTTATAAATAACCAAGTTTAAAGCAACATTAGAGAGATAAATTGACACTGCAAGTTAAAATATTGTTATTATTATAATTAGATACAATCCTAGTCCATATGAACACATGCTGTCTTTGCTTCCCTCTGCTCCCTGGAAGACTTCTGCCTCATTGATTACATAGAAAACACGACTTAAGGAACAAAGTAAGGTTACATGGAAAAGAAATCATTACAACTATGCGATTTATTGAGGAAGCTCTAGGTATAAACTGAATGAGGCAAATGACACCAACCTCTTCACCCATTCAAACAACAATCTATCAGTAACCAGTGAATACGTACTGGGAAACTTGATTAAAAAAGTAAAAACCTTTTCCACTGGAGTCTCCTATAAATTCCTTGGCTGCCAGATACTTAACATAAGGCATGTTCTGTTGTTTTGTAAGTCAGGCCATACATGTCTTGTGTTAAGTATCTGGACAGCAACAGGGCAATGCGACAATGAACTTTGCTCAGAACATAAATTAAAGTTGGATCTAAAGCACCTTGATCAGAGAGGTTCAATATTAGCAGATCTTAATTTCCATGTTGATAGGTACTGTAGGCTGTTAGGCCCCCAAAACAACAGTTTTAAGGCACTGAAGTATTACAGTGATGAAAGTAATAGAAATGGCCAGCCCCTTATTAGGTGAGCCTTTGATGGTATTTCTTCATCCAGCAACTGACCCAGATCTTACCGAAAGGCTAAGGCAAGGGCCATGCCCTCTGAATATCCAACCACCTACTGCTCACTGTGCAAGATGAGCGAGGCAGTGGCACGGAGGAAAAACAAAACAAAACAAACCCAACAAAAACACACAAACCGATGAACAAAAAGCCATGCAACTGCAAATTCGCATTTTAATACCGGTTCCTGTCATCTCACGCTACCTGTACAATGCGTAAATTATGCCGCAGGGATTATTTATATTTACCCAGGGGCCAAACCTGAGAGGCAGGGGATGCCTCGGCCCTGGCATACCTTAACTCGACGCTGGAAAAGAGTGCCTCCACGGGACTGCTCCCCTACCCCCCCCCAATTAAAAAAAAAAAACCCAAACCCACAAAACAACACAGAACCGTATTTAAAAAACACCCCAAAACAATAGGTTTGGGGTTTTGGTTTTTTTTTTTTAAAGAAAGCGGCGGTGAAGAACTTAAGGAACACGCCCAGCCAGCGGCGGGCGCCTCAGCGGCCGTTGGCCCCGCGAGCCCCCGCGCCTCCCTCACGGCCGCCCCCCCCCCAAACCCCCACCGGTTTTTCCCCGGTCCCGCCGCCCCCGGCGGCTCACAAAGCCCGGTCGGCAGGCTACCTCCGCCCGCCGCAGGACGCGGCCCGCCAGCCGGTACGCCGCGGAAGGAAGCAGCGGCGGCGGGGGGGGGCCGGGCCCCGGTCTCCCCTACCTTGGCTTTCTCCAAGGGGCTGAGGCGCAGCTGGTGCACGAAGGGACTCCGCGGCGGCGGCCCGCGCTCCCGGCTGCCGGCCACGCAGCATCCCCGGCCGCGGCTGCTGAACTTCATGGCGGGGCAACGACTACCGAGCGGCCCAGCAACCAGAGAGAGGAGGGCGCGGACGCTGCGTTAGCGACCGCTACTGTCGTCGTCCCGTCCCCGCCCCCGGTCCCCGCTCCGAGTAACGGCGGCGGGGGAGGGCACCGGCGGGGCCCCCG